TGTTCAGAATACAAATTTTTTGTTTATTCGCAATTACTTCAGTTTGGCTGTTGCTCATAAGTTTCAAATTAGTCCTTCACACTCACTCTTGTAGATTACCACATAACTGTTGCAGTATGCCATTTTAGACTTCCAAGATCATTTTTAATTTGACATAATGTCCAGCAGCTGTCTTAACTCTTGATTTACACATCAGCGTTCCAATTGGAGGTAGCACAGCTCCCAAATAGACACACTCCAAAAATGACCTGCCTTCTCCTTTATGAGCAAGTATTTCAACTGAAACAACTCATAAATCAACTGACACAACAATAAACAATGTGTTGCGTTTCATACACCACTCATCAAATGCTAGCTGTATCAACAAGTCAATTAAGCAGCATGTTTGAATGAATATCTTCATTTTTGGATACAAACAGTGGTTAAATTCAACATTACGGCTACAGTAGCTCATTATACTTCAGTCTATAAAATGCTCAGAGAATCCTTGAAAATCTACAAATGCATTTCCATTTTCCATACAATTACTGTATTCTTTTTTTGGAAAGGGCAATTGAAAGTTTGGTGATATTTAAAAACATAATTTCACTGCTGAAGACATTTCAAGCTGTAATGGCTTCCAAAGTTATATTTTGTGTCACGCCTATATTTAGTGAAATGACATGGGCTCCTCTTAACTGCATGTGCGTAAGTTTAACAGCAGCTCAGATGATTCAGATGCCGATGTGAGGCAGATTCTCTGGCCTGCTTTTATATCTGGACATGTGGATAAGTGCAGTGTGCTGTGTCCCCTAATCTAGTTCTCATGTGGGGTTAACCCCTAGCACATGGGGACAGAGGCAGCATTAGTGAGAGCTTTTGTAAACATGCCAGTGACTATTCTCTCTCTCCAACACACACTCCAACGCACAAAGACATGCACACATCATAATCTCACACACATAGCTTATTTTACTCTTTGTTCTATGTGCATTCCTGTCAGGCAGACAAAGGGAGCCATGGTATAGTGTGGCTGAGAACATAGGAGAGAGACACAGACAGGGAGATAAACCTTAAAGGGATAGTTCACCCAATAATTTAAATTGTGTCCTAACCTGTAAGCTGTGGAACACAAAGAGTTCATTTTTAAAATACCTTTACAAATCTTTTATCCATAAGTGAAAGTTCTAAGTGACAACATCATGCCAAACTCAAACAAAAATACCCGGTTTCACAGACCAGGCTTAAACCTATAGTCCCAGACTAAAATGACTGCTTGAGCTGTCTTAACTAAGTGACTTGCACAGACATAAGTTAAAAATAGTCTCTTCTGGATTAAACAAAGCTGACTGCAAGAGGAAGGATTACAGCTAGACTATAGGACTAAATTGAAGTTGAATTAATCCTTCAAAGAGGCAGGTTTAATTAACTGTTTGTGAGAAAGCATGGACTATTTGGAATATCTAAATGAAGAACAACATGCACATCAGAGGCCAGCAAGACGAGTTCTTGTATTGGGGTAATTCATTAAATTACTTTGATGACTGTTTCATTAGACCAAGATCATGTGCTTAACCTAATTGACTTAACCCAAGTGTTCTCATTTAGGCTTGCTCACCTTAGTACACAATCCCCTGGTTTCACAGACAAGGCTTAAACTAGACTAAAATGCATGTTTGAGCTGTTTTAACTGAAAGCAACTTGCACTGACATATCTTAAAATACGCATGTCAGTGTCATTGTTTTGTCTCAAGATGCACACCAGTAATGTTTTGTTTTTTTATTCTAAAGCATATTTTTAAAAGCTAAGCAAAGGCTGCGATGAAGAGGAAGATTTGCAGTGAATGATTTATTATGATTCACTTTCTGTCTGTTTGGAGCTTGCCATGCTGTTGTGTACATGGTCACTATGAACTGCTGTTGTATGATGAAAACTCTCTTTTTCTGTTCCATAGAAAACAAATGAAATAAAATTGTTTTGGAACACTTAGGTGAATAAATTATGACAGAATTTAAATATTTGGAATTTTCAACTATGATCAAGCCAATGTATTTTCAGTCCAATTAACTTTTTTTTTTTTTTTTTTTTGAGTTTCTGTGGTTAGGGAAGAGTTAAATGGCTAGTATCCTACTGTTAGATCTGACAGCTGCACACAGTCCCCAAAGAGAGATTATTTTTGACAAACTGAATGGAACAACTGAAGGAAACCTGGCTGCCTGCCTCAGGCGTGTTGTGCTGTTTTTACACGCAGATTACATCTTTCCAAGATAAAAAACCCATGACCAACATGAATCTCAGCAAACATCAACTGTGGCACAACTGAAGACCTTCTGTATCTCATCACAAAGTGCATTTTCAGGTTATAACATGCCCTGATTTTTTATTTAATCTCCTTTTTTTCTACCATCTGTTTCATTCATTTCATTTTTGGCTTCACGTGGAGGACATTAATGTTGAGCAAGACTCATATTCCAGATGAGAATCTGAGGGGGGTTAATGCACCCGTGTCATGTCTAGCCTCGTGTTTTTTTGTACAAAGGGATGAGCTCGCATAGCTTCTTGTGTTCTAACTGACGCTGTCGTTCTCATACTGTACATCTGTCTGCCAACCAGGTGGGATGTTGCTGGGGTGATGTTGTCATAGCAACCATTAAAAAAAGAAAGAAAAATAAGACAGACAGTGAGCGGCAGTGTAAAATTCCTCTCCATACTTTCACATGCTCGAGAAATGGAGCAGGTCAGCTGTGCAGGCAAATGAAAGGAGGATTGAGATGTTAGTAAGAAACAGCTGTGAGTTGAATGATGAGCAATGATCTATTTTTTTTATTTATTTTTTAAGAAAGTGTTCTGGCTGTTATAGTTATACGAATGAATTATATTATATGGAAAAGCCTTCTGAATTAATGAGATGTTCAGCTGTTCTGTGGACTTTTAGAAGTCTGGTTAAGGTCACAAGCTATGTTAGAACAAAGAGGGAGAAATTGAGAATAATGGCTTGTTTGATCTGCAACGCAAAATGGCGGTAATGTCCTAACAAAAGAATAATCAGAACAATTGGTATAAAAGCTTTCTTGTTAGGATATAAAATGAGGGCAGAAGGCACGGAAATGCGTGGAAATGGTCCCTATGACATGACTGTGGCAAATATGTTACTTGCCCAGCATGTTTTTGTAAACTCGACTGAAGAAACAGACAGGAAATTATTAGATTGGAATCATTGTCAACAAATGAATTTCATTACACTTCAAACATTGAAATAAAATGAGGTCATATGCAAAATCAGCTCTCAAAAGATGCTTTTTTTCCATTCACATTATGGCATGCTGACTTTTGATATGATGAAAACAGCACTTATGGATTTACAGTTAAAAAAAAATCTGTACTACTATTTGCGCCGAACATATGGATTTGAGAACACATCTGCAGGATGGACACAACAGTAGGGAAGGTGAACATGAGCGCTTAAACATTTCATTTCAAGTGTTTGCATATCCAGCAGAGGTGATTTGACATTCCAAATGACCTGATTTTGTCTGGCAAAGAGTGTGGCAAGACACAGCAAGTCCACAGTGCAGAGCAGATACATCTCTGACATGGGTAATGCTGCCAAACACTAAGTATTTTCAAACTCATAAAATAACTCTTGTGTGAGCATATTTCTGTGGTGTGTCTGGAGTTTTCCTTCATGCTTTCAAAAGGGGTAACTTTAGGCTCGGAGTCAGAAGACAGCTGAACTCAAACTGTAGTATTCCTGCAGTCAACAGATAGCATGAAAATTAACATGATTGCTGTTCAAGGACTACAGTCAGTGAATATAGATCCAAAGGCTGTCATGTTAAAGGAACACTCCGACTTTTGGGGACTTTATCCTATTCACCTTATCCCCCAGAGTTAGATAAGTCCATACATACCTTTTTCATCTCCGTGCGTGCTGTAACTCTATCTGACGCACCCACCGCTAGCCTAGCTTAGCACAGTGCTAAGCTAACTCTATCTGACGCACCCACCGCTAGCCTAGCTTAGCACTGTGCTAAGCTAGGCTAGCGGTGGGTGCGTAAGATAGAGTTACAGCACGCACGGAGATGAAAAAGGTATGTATGGACTTATCTAACTGGGATAAGGTGAATAGGCTAAAGTCCCCAAAAGTCAGAGTGTTCCTTTAAGCATAGGTTTAAAGTACTTTTCCATTTCCAAGATTAACATGTTTTCTCGAAGTTGACAAACAAACAAACTGTGGTACTGTCTATAATATAATTCATATAATTCAATTCATTATTCTATTAATGTAATATTGAAGTGATTTTACAATGGACAGATGGGACACTTTTATTCAATTAAAAAAACAAACATCATAGTACAAAAATAATCAAGTTTTATCTTCACGGTGATAAACTTGTACACAAGTGCAACATTACCAGATTTAATAATAATGCTCTGGAACCATAATCATCTCCATTTGACAGCAGAAATTATCCTAAAAAGCTGAGCGTTTTGGTTACTTGCATCAGGTTTTCTGACATGCCACTAGTTGTCGGGAATTGACTGAAGGGGTGGTCTGATTCAGAGGCTACGGATGCGTTCGAAATCGCATACTCAAGAGAGTATTTACTTCTTACTTCACAACCACTAAAAAGGTATGTTCTTTACAGTATGAAATGTAATTTGGACGTACTACATTTGCCATGTTGCCCTTATCATGTGAGCTACTAGTGTCAGGTCACCGCCATTCACAAATCCTCTCCCGTGGCCTCATGGGATAGTAAAGTGTCCTTCATATGCACACTTCAGAATCTCATCGGAAGAAGTAGGTCATCCAAGTACTTTTTGCCTACTCTTTTATGAGTACTGTGAATTCAAACCTACTTCTTTTGTCACATACTGTTTTTCGACTAATAGAAAGAATGTGATTTCGGATGCAGCCATTGTCTGGTGGAAGTTAATGAAACAGATCATATCACTTACAGCGCCTTTAACTTGTGGAATGTCAGTTGTGTTAAAACATTGCCCTGGACTCTGTGTAGAGCATTTAGGGAAAATATCCTTTAATATGATCTTGTCTTAAAAGGTGAATCACTCAATTCAACAATTCTTCATTGTCATACTAATCTGTCAAAAACATTGACATTTACTGGAAACCAAAAGGTTGGTGGTTCATCTTGCGCACTGAAAACTGAGGCTCCGTTTGTCAAGAGTTCATCGGTACTACTTGTATCCCATGGGCATTGATGTACGTGAGCAAAACTTTGGCTCTTCTCTCAATTACGTCAATGAGTTTTTCAATGCCTTGACGGCCTCCCTGACTGTCCCAGTACTGCTGGTCGAGAAACAGCGATTGCAGGAGCTTTTCCCTGAGACGCTGAGACCTCAACACTGACACAGACTGATCTGGTAGCCTGAAAGAGGAAAAATATTGAAAGAATATAGTAATGCACTCCAAAATTATTAAAACAAACTTAGTATAGAATAAATAACCACCTTTTAAAAATGTGTAACATACAATATCATTAAATACTGTTTTTACAATCCCCACAAAACAAATTGCATTGCTAACAGACAAATTATGTAATACCATGCTGTGATGCAGATAATGTGCAAGCTGTGATACTTAAACACAGCAATGGCCAATCATTTATTCTGATTGATGTTATTGCACAAGTGAGCTTGTGTTCCCAGAGGTATCACATTAGCAGCATCGCCAGCAGAATCCCTTAGCTCAGACAGCACGTGTCAGATTGTTGGCGTATGTATTTGCTTACGTCTTCAGTGGTGTTGTAGAGGTGTTGGCTTACTGAGGCCAAACTTGTGGCCTCACAGAAACAAATTCTTAGTTGCAGTTTTAGTTGGAGCAATTACAAATCACCTCAGATGGTCCAGTATGAACAAGAAAAAATGCACAAAACTATTTATTTAAATTAAAAAATACATTTGTCATCTGGATTTTAATGTCTATGCAAACCTGATAACCTGTGGAGATTTGTAATTCAATTAAACTGCAAGGATTAATTTCTTTGAGGTCATGAGTTTCTAAGTCCTTCACAACAACTTGCAAGACATTTGAGAGAGAGAGACTTTAGAAAAGAGGAAAAGATGAGAGCAAAGAAGCCCCAGCAAAAAGAAGAGACCGAGAATCAAAGAGACAGAGCAATAGTTGCAATATTCTTTTATCCCTTCATTGACCATGTGACTGAAACCCAAATGTGGGACATTCAAACTGACTGATCAGAAGATTACAACTTCCCCCACCGAACTAAAGGTGTGACAATTAGAAGACACCCGATGTACACTCAATTATCTGTCTTTAAAAAACATTTGCAACATATCTGCAAAATCTGGCTATTCTTGACACTTATAACATCATTATGAGATTAAATTAAAGATAAACTCTAACATTTGAAATACAGTGCTTAAATTTATTAGACCACCACCCATTGTAAGGTTTGTGCCACAGCTGCCCTAATGCCCACAGTATTGGTGATTACCAAAATATTTGATGTTTCTGTAATGGTTAATCCATCCGTATGTGTAAGCTCTTTAGTCACAGTTGGCCAAGTCAAAGTCCGGATTTGAATCCTATTTAACAAAGTTTGGATTTAGTGGATTCAAAGACAGATTGCACAAAAGTTTCAGCAAAAGCAAGTATTTGGGAATAACTAAAAACTATTTGGAAGTCGGTAACAACAGAGACTGTGGAAAAGTACTGTACATAAAAACAATGGCAGCAAGGCCAAAGGACACCACATACAAAATATTAAGTTTTGGTTATTATGTGGGAATAAAGACTATTTAGGCTAGTTGTTTCAGTCTGTTAGTCAGTTTTAGTTTTAAACAAGTTTTTGATAGATTCAAAATATATTTGTGTTAACTCCTTATTATGACAGGTGGTCTAATAAAATGTGTTAAGCACTGTAGGTCTGGTAATTTTACTCACTCTTTGATTCCCTCTAGTAGCCTGAAGTCCAGATTCTCCTCATCTCGGTCAAAGTAGCCCTTGTTGTAAAAGAAAACCAGGTGGTGTGGGTCATGTCTACGGTGGACTATGTGTGTCAGCTCTATGCTGTCCTTATCTGTACATTCTTCATGGTGACCAAGCTCAACACAGGTGTCCTCTGGGCGGGGCTTAAATCCACAGCAGTTTTTATCTAGTCGTTCATAAATCTGAGAAGAAAAACAATCTTTATTTTTGTTTTAAATTATTCAGTTTAAATTAATTGGTCAGAAAACATTACATATATATATATATATATATATATATATATATATATATATATATATATATATATATATATATATATATATATATATATGTGTTAATGTGCATCTAAGTTTGTTTAAAGTTGCAACAGATGAAAGTGGAGTAGAGTACCTGCAGAAGGAAATCAAAGACTACTAGCTTGCTCCATTCATGGTGGTGGATGCTGGTGCACCTCCACTCTGGTTTAGGTATGATGCCCCGATGCCAGCACTTGTATTTGAGAGAGGTTTGATATGAACCCCAGCTCAGTCTCTCAGAGGGTTGATCTACTGCTGGGCTTAAAGAAGGATCCCACAAAACCACTGGACAAGGCTGACCATCTGAAACAAGATGAAATATACACTCACCTAAAGGATTATTAGGAACACCTGTTCAATTTCTCATTAATGCAATTATCTAATCAACCAATCACATGGCAGTTGCTTCAATGCATTTAGGGGTGTGGTCCTGGTCAAGACAATCTCCTGAACTCCAAACTGAATGTCAGAATGGGAAAGAAAGGTGATTTAAGCAATTTTGAGCGTGGCATGGTTGTTGGTGCCAGACGGGCCGGTCTGAGTATTTCACAATCTGCTCAGTTACTGGGATTTTCACGCACAACCATTTCTAACTCCTTATTATGACAGGTGGTCTAATAAAATGTGTTAAGCACTGTAGGTCTGGTAATTTTACTCACTCTTTGATTCCCTCTAGTAGCCTGAAGTCCAGATTCTCCTCATCTCGGTCAAAGTAGCCCTTGTTGTAAAAGAAAACCAGGTGGTGTGGGTCATGTCTACGGTGGACTATGTGTGTCAGCTCTATGCTGTCCTTATCTGTACTAAAAAACCTTAGTAATAGGTTTACAAAGAATGGTGTGAAAAGGGAAAAACATCCAGTATGGGGCAGTCCTGTGGGCGAAAATGCCTTGTTGATGCTAGAGGTCAGAGGAGAATGGGTCGACTGATTCAAGCTGATAGAAGAGCAACTTTGACTGAAATAACCACTCGTTACAACCGAGGTATGCAGCACAGCATTTGTGAAACCACAACACGCACAACCTTGAGGCGGATGGGCTACAACAGCAGAAGACCCCACCGGGTACCACTTATCTCCACTACAAATAGGAAAAAGAGGCTACAATTTGCCAGAGCTGACCAAAATTGGACAGTTGAAGACTGGAAAAATGTTGCCTGGTCTGATGAGTCTCAATTTCTGTTGAGACATTCAGATGGTAGAGTCAGAATTTGGCGTAAACAGAATGAGAACATGGATCCATCATGCCTTGTTACCACTGTGCAGGCTGGTGGTGGTGGTGTAATGGTGTGGGGGATGTTTTCTTGGCTTACTTTAGGCCACTTAGTGCCAATTGGGCATCGTTTAAATGCCACGGCCTACCTGAGCATTGTTTCTGACCATGTCCATCCCTTTATGGCCACCATGTACCCATCCTCTGATGGCTACTTCCAGCAGGATAATGCACCATGTCACAAAGCTCGAATCATTTCAAATTAGTTTCTTGAACATGACAATGAGTTCACTGTTCTAAAATGGCCCCCACAGTCACCAGATCTCAACCCAATAGAGAATCTTTGGGATGTGGTGGAACGGAAGCTTCGTGTCCTGGATGTGCATCCCACAAATCTCCATCAACTGCAAGATGCTATCTTATCAATATGGGCCAACATTTCTAAAGAATGCTTTCAGCACCTTGTTGAATCAATGCCACGTAGAATTAAGGCAGTTCTGAAGGCGAAAGGGGGTCAAACACAGTATTAGTATGGTGTTCCTAATAATCCTTTAGGTGAGTGTATGTAGGCTATACATTCATTAGATCAGCATCAGTCATATTTGATTTCTCATTAGCTTGATAGCAGCTTTGATGACAATGAACTGCTCCGAATGCAGTGGCCCCAGAAAGTACTATAGCCTAAGTCCATTTAATCTATATAAGATGCACAAAAATGTCATTGAAAATGACAATCAAATTAAGCTTTTTTTTTTAGAATTGCCTTTTTCTTATCTATTTTGCAATTAGTTTAAATCAAAATGTGCCTTTAAAAATAAATACATAAATAAGAGACTTGGTTTGATATTTTGTTATCTAATGCAGTTACATTTACACATCTTTTTTTGTTGTGACTTAAATAAATTGCTCTCCCATTTACTCACCCTCATATTGTTCCAAACCTGAGTTTCTTTCTTCTGTTGAACAAAAGATGATATTTTAAAGAATGTTGGCAACCAGACAGTTGGCGGAAGCCATTGACTTCCAACATTTTCCCTACTATGGAAGACAATGGGTGCCATCGGTTACAAACATATTTGGTGGTTAAAATATCTTCTTTTGTGTTCAACAGAAGAAACACAGGTTTGAAACAACTTGAGAGTGAGTAGTAGGCCTAATGACAAATTTTTAATTTTTGGGTGAACTATCCCTTTAAGTGTCCAAAACCTTTTATGGGCCACTTTATTCTTTACCAATTTAATCCAAAATTAAGTAAAATGCAGTATCAGCTACTAAAATATATAAATACATTAGAATAAAATATTAAATTAAGTAAAATATTTAGGCCTAATTATAAAAAAAAAAATTAATAAACAAAAACAGAAACAAACACACTACCTCCAAGAGAGTGGAATCTTCTGCTGACAGCTGGCAAAGTTCTGTTCAGTCCCAAGATCCTATCCAGATGAAAGGCGAACACTTCACTCATGTCCAAGGGTCTCCTGACAATACCGCAACATTTGCGACACGCATCAGCATCGTCCGTCTGATTTGTCGCACTTTTAAATAAAATGAAAGAAGAAAAGCCCGGAGGTGCAACTTCGTCAATATGCGTAATTTTACTATCAGCTAGAAAGCGCATGGCCGTGATATCGTCAATGCTGAACCATGGAGGAGCTCTTTCACTGTATATCCTGATGGATGAATAATCACCGTTACTGCCATCAAGCTCAGAATATCCCAGTTGTTTGTCAACGGTGTTTGTATCGTGGCTCGCGTCCTTCGCTTTGCCCTGTGTGCCACTCTGCGCTCTCACTTTAACTTTCTTTCTCCGGAGTTTGGGGCGCACTGTGCCCCTGATGATGGCCGGTTTGTGCCGCTTCGATTTGAGAGTTATATACACCACATTAGACCTGGTCGGACTCAGGGACTCATTCAATTCCCCTTCAGTGGGGTCCTGGTAGGTTTTTCTTGTTTTTTGTGAATAAACGCCATTGCTAGTCCACGGATCAGGACGTTGGTCTTGGCGAGTAGACGCGTGATTAACGTGAACGGTGAAAAACAAATAAACAAAACACACAACAGCTATGATCAAATACTTCTTAATGGCGGAATATCTCCCACAACAGTTGCAGACTTTCAAAAACGATACGGACAAACAAATCATAGTGTCCCCGACATTTCCAGGACGAGTCGTATCCATTGGTACGAGTGTCTGCGCATGATTAGGCCAAGTCAAAATTATTTTGTCCACATTGGAATTGCGTTCTTTTCGTTTACATATTGATGGCACACAGGAGTTCCAAATCCCCTCAGCGCGCAGCTACAGCATGAATGAAGACAACTGTCCCGATGCCGGATCAGCTGAGATAACAGTCCCAAATTGACTAGAATGCAGCAATTGTCCTCACGCCCTTTTCACTGAAAACGCGAGAGGCTAGAATGCGGTCATTAGAAACTAAACTGTAAAATAAAAATCCTCGTTTATGTGTATTTTTCCAGAACATAGCCTATCTAAATATTAAAGATTTACCTGCTGAATAATAATAATAATAAACCTAAAAAAATAAAATAAATAAAAAACAGTATTTAGCTCGTCTGTTAATTGACTGGTTTAAGAGTGGTTTGGGCATTTTTCAGCAAAACCATCTTAAACCAGCTTTTTTGTTGTTGTTGTAGCAGCAAACGACCATCGCTGTTTTTCCCCCCAACAGCTGATAAATTACAAAAATAGGAAAGTTCGTTGTCTTTTAGGAAGATGTTAAAATTTAATCACAATATTTGCCAGCAGGAAAAAGTTTCCTGTGCACACCTTGCCTGTGAACAATGTTGTTTTGACATGTTTTGTACTTGTAATTTGCTGGTGTGAATATGAAGCAATAACATCTATTAATGATGGGCTTCGGTAAAGAGGACAGGAAACACAGCAACAGTAGCATACAAGTTATGACGTCCTTTAGGTATGGAATGCATAGACCGAGTCTGACAGACTATTCTAATCTAGACATTTTACACACACGGTTTTCATATTTTACATCCCACACAGCCATAATGATTTTTATACTGTACAAACTGTAGCCTATATTCGATTCCCTAAACCTGCCCATCACAGAAAGCTAGTTTTTGGATTTTCAAAAAACACTTCATATGATTTAGGCCTATAAGCTGTTTTTCATGGGGACCCAAAAATGTTCTCACAAGGACAGGGATTTCAGATATTGCCATCTTTGTGGGGATATTTAGTCCCCATAATGTACCCGTAGTGTATACCCTTTACAGCTCAAAAAGTGTGGGGTGATATACACAAATTCTGTTGAATACATAGCACAAACACAAATTTACATACATAGCCAAAGCGGCTACTGTTTAATTCAAATACATGTAAACTTACAAAAAACCTAGAATTAATTTGGACTGCAATTAAAATGCAATAGAAACGTACAAATAACACCAAGGGCTACTAAGCAACTGCAGAGGCCTTATTCAAGGTGATAAGCTCGGTGACTAGGAATATTGGTTTAAAACCTGATCCACCATTGCCACCTTGTGGTAAGTACATACTTAAGTCTTTGAATAAGCAGTTAACAGGGAGCCTGCCAGGACAACACAAGTTGCCAAAGCAAACAACAGCAAGTTCCCAGGACCCTGAGGAAAGAAAATCAGTTTGTTAGGCTGGCCTAAATAGAAGTTTCTGCTTTATTATTACTGGTAATGAATCAATAGCAAATTAAAACGACTATGATCTAAACTGGCTCTTACACACACACTTGTTAGTTTTGATATTATGGTGAGCAATTATAATTATGCATTTACTGAGTGAGTGAGTATATATATATATATATATATATATATATATATATATATATATACACATACACACACACACACACACACACACACAGTTGCAATCAAAATTATTCAACCCCCATTGCAAATCATGTTTATTGGCAAAATTTACAGACTTTCAGCGGTTTGCAATGAACAAATCAAACAAAAGTAATTGAAATAGCTCATCACAACAAATGTTTCAAGTGGTTTCCCCAAATTTAATTGAAAATGCAACTTTTAATGACTTCTGCAGTTTCAAAATTACTCAACCCCCTGAATAGAATCCCTCACAACAGCACAAATCAGGTGCAAAACAGGTGTTGTCTCAAGCACACCTGATGCAACTAATCAAGGGCTTCATTAGTTGCACCAGGTGTGCTTGAGCTAGAACACATCAGGCCCCGTTTACACGTACATGGTTATTTTGAAAAATGGATACATTTCCCTTCGTTTGTGCCCTTCGTTTACATGCAAACAGAGAATTCGCCTCTGAAAACGATTCTTTCTAAAAACTCCGGCCAGAGTGGAGATTTTGGAAAACTTTGTTTGCGCCTTTGCATGTAAACTGAGAAAAACAGTTTTAGGCAGCCGACGTCACAGTATGCGACAGAACTTGCACCTGCGTCAAAAGTGCGACCTATCCCCACGTCGCATGTTTTCTCATCGAGCTCCCCCTACAGCTGTGCGGCGTATATTTTCACAACACTGTCATAAAAAAAAACTCACTTGCAGCACCTTCCTCCTGCTTTCTAGCGCTGCTCATGTGCATTTGTTATGATCGGAGCCAGACAACTTTATCGTGTGGAGCTATGTCTACCGAGGTGGGTAATGCATCACACACAGTATCATAGAATTATGTCGAGAATTGCCATAAAAGCAGTTCGTGTTTCTCGCTCGTTCTCGCTTCTCGCGAGACTTCCTATTTCCAACTTACCGGGACGTTAGTCCCCATGTTGCAAGGTTGGTTTTTCCGCCTGGGGACGCTGGGGCGAGCGGGGAAAGTCACCATTCTCTCCAGAACAGGTTATTGAACCATTCAAATGATTTCTAAACGGTTTTATTAAGTTGAAATAGTTGCCAAGTGCCCCTTTAAACATTTGTTGTGATGAGCTACTTCAATTACTTTTGTTTGATTTGTTCATTGCAAACCGCTGAAAGTCTGTAAATTTTGCCAATAAACTTGATTTGCAATGGGGGTTGAATAATTTTGATTGCAACTGTGTGTGTGTGTGTGTGTGTGTATGTATTTACACATATACATACACACACATATATATATATATATATATATATATATATATATATATATATATATATATATATATATATATATATATATATATATATATATATATATATATATATATATATATATATATATATATATATATATATATATATATATATATATATATATACACACACACACACACATATATATATATACACACACACACGTATAAAATTGCATACATGTACTCACTAAATGCATAATTATAATACTAATGGCTCACCATAATATCACAACTAATGAAAGGTAGTGAATTTATGCGGATTTAAATCAACACATAAATATTCATGTTCATTTGAAAAACAAAGTGTCAGACTAGGTCACGTAAAAATACCATCCAAAATACTGAATGAATACAAATAGCTTTATGTTACCTACTTTGACCTCTTTAAATACCACACTTCCCCACAGAGCAGCTACAAAACCATAACCCTGAAATCATAGTAGAACACACTGTCATTACTTCCGATTTTCAATGCAAGGTGAAAGAGAACATGAAAGATTTTCTTTTGTACCATACTTACAGCATTAATTATAGGGAATGTGACCACTGCACTAAGGTAGTAATTTGCCATAAGCCAGGCATATGTGGCTAATCCCCACATCAAGCCACTCAGAAAACCTGCATGGAAGATTTTACATGAGTTAAGAAACACGGGAACTCAATATTCAGTAGAAAGCGGAGGAATGTTTTCAGGGGTATCGTGTCCAGTAGCTGACAGTAAACTTTACCTGTAACAATACAGTTGCTTTGCAATACTCCACAAATATGGTGGAGCTGCAAAGCAACACGGTCCTTTCATCCAAGTTGAAATAAAGATGATGGAATGGAATGCACATTAATTACCGGGTAAGATGGCTCTGGGATAGATCCGGGGCCTGTTCTTCATGACTGCGCAGTAAGTAAGAAAATACACTGTGCTCATGAGGAAAATTCCACTGTAATGGGCAAAGCAGTAGTCAATTTCTGTAATGGACAGAAAAACATGTTAGAATAGCATGTAAAATGCTTTTTAACATCTTATTAAGCTATAAAAATTGCATACAATTAATACTGAAACTACTTGGTCATCCCATACATACATACCATTCTCACTGGATCCAGTGAAAATACTTGAATTGGTTTTGGCATGAACTTTAATATAGAAAACGGGCACAAAAGAAGAGCCATAAAGGACACCTGAAAATATGGCCAAGATGCAGCCCCTGTAACAAGAGAATATTATCATAGAAAATAAATATTGCATAGATTTAATATTTATTTTCCAGAGAATTTAACAATATTATATATACATGTATAAATAAATATTATATATAAATGTATAAAGCTGCAAATGCCATATAAATTCACAAACTTTTTATACATGCACACATAAGCACAGAAAAAAGGCCTCAAACATCCCAGTACATAATTAAGAACCAGAAATGGACTGGAACTAGGAAGGCCTACAGATACTCACAACACTCTTTTGCTCTTTGGTGAAATCGTGTCCACCCATGAATCACTGGGGTTTGTGATGTCTTGATTCAACATCTAAAGACAGTGTGAATACATGCACACAAAATGTCAGCAAAGATGTGTGTATCCATAACAAAATACACCAAACAATATTCTACATAACATCCAAAAAGCTCTTAATGTGGAAAAGCCCTATAACTTACCCTATCATCAATCAACAAAGGCATGGATTCAGGAGATGTACGTTTCTGAACATCACTTTTCACAAAGAAGAATATGATGGCACTGAAACAAAGACAAGATTGTCTTATGAGAAAAAAATAAAACCTAAGAGAGTTCTCTCTCACAATAAATAAAACGCAAGGATGTTTTTTTCCATATCCCATAAAATCAGATGGAACTGTAGATCCAAGACAACGTGACTTCAGGTCTTAGGAGGAGCTTTATCCTGCCTTACACAATATATTGCATTTTCAATTTCGGAGAAACTTTTGAGTGAGTAAGACAGCAGCACTTTCATCTCAAAAGGATCTTTGTGAGGTGTAACTACTAAGTGAACAACTTATATATATATTTACCTTAGCAGACAAAGGCCAGCTCCACAGTAATTGAGTATCGGTTTGGACACCTCATCTGGATGCAGCCCAAACCAGCCAAACCTTGAAAGGAATGACTTAAGAGGTAATATTACCTATGTCTTAATTAAAAACATGGATAACACTTTATAATTAGGTCCTACTAGTTAACATTAATTTATGCATTAAACTACTAACATTAGCTAACAATGAGCAATACATTTGTTACAGTTCATCTTTCTTAATGTTAGTTA